AAAAAAAAAAAAAAAAAAAAACCCCAAAAAACAAAAATAAATTACAGCCGTATGTTCATTAAAAAGCACCCCAAAAGACTGGGAAGGCAAGCTGCAGGCTAAAAGAAAGTATCTGTGATTTACATACTTGAAAAGGGACTTGTATTCAGAATATAGAAAGCTGGGCATGGTGGTGCAACCTGTGATCCCAGTACTTGGGAGGCTAAGGCAGGAGGATTGCCACGAGTTTGAGGCCAGCCAGGGTTACATAGTGATTTCAAGGTCAGCCTGAATTGCATAGCAAGACCCTGTCTCAAAAAACAAAAAAGGGGCCAGGGATTTAGCTCAGTGGTATCTCACCTGCCTCAAAGTGCAAGGTCCTGAGTTCAATTCCCCGTACCCAAATAAACAAACAAAAAACAGAAAATAGAAAAAACCTAACACAAACATCAAGATCAAGCACAGTGGTGCAAGCCTGTAACCCTAGTAAGTATAAGGCCAGCCCAGGCAATTTAGGAGGCCCTATCTCAAAAAGGGTGGGGGGTTTAGCTCAGTGGTTCTGCCTCCTGCCTGGCAAATGGATGGTCCTGAGTTTGATCCCCATAACAAGGTGGGGGGCTGGGGATGAAAGTGCCACGTGTGAGGCCCCAGGTTCAATCACAAGTAATGAAAAACAAAAAATTAAATCCTGCATAAAAGATGAGAAAAAGCACTTTATAAAAGAAAATCTAAATGGCCAATAAGAATACTGGAAAATGCTTAGTACAATTATTTTTCAGAGCAATGCAAGTTAAAACTACAGTAGCTGGGGATTTAGCTCAGTGGTTCCAGTGCAGCCCAAGGACCCAAGTTCGATCCCCAGTACCAAAAACAAACAAACAAACAAACAAAAACTCACAATGAGGTCCGGGGATTTAGCTCAGTGGTTCCACTGCCTGCCTCACAAGCAGAAAGTCCCCAGTTCAATCCCCGGTACACACACACACACACACAAAAACACAGTGAAATACCACAACAGCTAGTAGTGGGGCTCCTGTAATCCCAACACTTGGGAGGTTGAGGCAGGAAGATTGCCGTGAGTTTGAGGCCACCCTAGACTACGTAGTAAATTCAAGGCCAGCCTAAACTGCATATAGTGAGAACCAATCTCAACAAAACAAAACAAAAAACCAAAACATTACTAGAATACTTAAAATCAAAAGAACAGAAAATACCAAGTTGTGAGGATCCTGCAGGGACATCAGGAACATTCACATGCTGCTGCTGGAAGCATAAGTTAGAATACTTTTGAAAGCTGGCCATATCTGCTAAAGCTGGAGATAAGTTCGCCCTGTGACCTAAAATTAGTGTCATTTATAACAGCCCCAAACTGGACACAGCTGGAATGTCCATGAATGCTACAATGGATACTGTAATTTATTCACAGATTAAATATGACACAGTAACAGAAAGGGACAACCTACAAAATAATTAGACCTCCCAAGCAAAATGCTGAAAGAAACTATGCATTGATGTAAAGTCCAAGAGCAGGTGAAATCAACCAGCGATGACAGAAGCAGCAACTATAGCTTGGGAGATGCAAGATGGAGCCTTGGGGAGTTGGGACTCTGCCCCCCACCCACAGACACAGACAGAAACTCAAGGCATGGTGCTTTCTCCTTGTCCACCAGCACCCTCCCGGCTGACCCATTTACTGCCCCCAGTGCGCTCTGCATTCTCCCCCGCTGCTTTTTTTTTTTTGGTACCGAGGCTTGAAATCAGGACCTTGGGCTTGCAAGGCAGGTGGTGGAATCACTGAGCTAAATCCCTGAAAACCTGCCTTCCAGCCTGCTGGCCTCTCAGCCCGATTTCCTTTCGGTTTGCTCTTCTCTCCTGAATATCCAGCCTGCGCCTCTCAGCCCGATTTCCTTTCGGTTTGCTCTTCTCTCCTGAATGCCTGCTTCCCAACATCTCTCTCCTTAGACCACTACATTCCCTGTCATCCTCACTCTGAGAACCTGGTTCTTCTTCCTCGTCCTCTGATCAAGCCCTTTCACACTGAAGTGCATTCCTACTCCCATTATTAATTCTGAAACAGGGTTTTTGCTAAGTCACGAAGTTGTCCTGGCTGGGCTCAAATTTGTGATTCTCCTGCCTCAGCCTCCCAGAGTTGTTGGGATCACGGGCCTGGCTTCTCATCCTTTTTATCAGCAGCATCTATTCATCTCTCTCCTGCCTTGTGACTGCAAAGCCACAACACTCCCCTTGCCCCGCCTTCCTGTCTCCCTGGCCTTTCCTCCCATCTCACACTCCCTGTGAGCTCCTGTACTCGGGCCTGGGCTTTGAACACTGTCAGCCGGTGGATGTCACGTTTCCGCCCACTTGGATGTGTGAGGACGTGACAGACACCCTGGCAACCTCACCGAGACCGCTTCTCCTTGTCCCCACAGCCCGGGAAGTGGCAACACCCTTCTCTCGCTGCCCCAGGCCTGCACTTTTGAGTCGCTCTCTGCCCCACTTCCAGCCCCTTTCAAAGCCGCCGTGTTGGTATAGTGTTGGCCCATCAGGCGGGGGTCTCCTGCGTGCTGCTGAGCTCCGGGCCAGCCCCACCTGTCTCTTTGGCGTGGTTTCCTGCTCCACTGAGAGAAAGCCCAAGGCCTCCCGGAGCCCCGTCGTCTTTTCTTCTGGGGCTGCAGGACTCGCGCCCTTACTCTCTGGGCCTCAGCGCTCCTCACCCAGGCCTTCACTTGTCCACCGTATCTACAGCTACAACCCTCCCGCACTTCCCGTTTCCTTCCCTGCTCTACATTTTGTTTAAATGATTACACTTTATTTCTTAGAGCCACATTAGGGTTAGAAAATACTGAGCATAAAGGGTACAGTTTCCATAGATCCCTTGCTCTGGACCTCCCTGATGGCAGGTTTCAGCCTGAACCCAAACTGACACATTATTATTAGCTCAAGTCCCGCACTTCACTGTGCCCTACATTCTGTTGCTTTTAACAAACGTGAAAGGTACAGAACAGCTTTAGTCCCCCGTGCTGCCCCCACTGTCTTCCCTCCCTCTGGCCAAACGCTGGGAAAGGGCTGCTTTTTCCTGTCTCGCGGGCCCGTGCCTTCTCCTGTCCGCAGTGGGAACCGCGCAGTAGGCAGCTTTTTCAGATTGCTTGCTTTCACCTGGTCATACGCAACTAAAGGGTCACCCTGTCTCTTCATGGTTTGAGAACCCTACCTTATTTTTCTCCTTGGCAGTTATCTTTTCTAACATGTGTCTATAAATATTATCATATTGTCTTGTATACAGAATTGTGTTTTATGCGGGCACAGTGGCGCCCATCTTTAATTCCTGCTACTTGGGAGGCTGAGGCAGGATAATCACAAGTTCAAGGCTAACTGGGCAACCTATTAATAAATAAATAATAAAATACAGTAAAAAGGAGCCGGGGATACTACCTTGCGGTACAGCCTTTGCCTACCATATGTGCGGCCCCAGGTTCGATCTTCAGCATGGCAGCAAAGAAAAAAAAAACGTGTTTCATGACAAGGACCACCCCTCCCATATCCAGGCTGGTGGGAAACACCTGGCCTCAACCTGGCAAGTAGCTGGGACTGTAGCTGTCCTCACCACACCTGGTCAGGGGAGGTTCTTGTCTGCTCTGTCCACTGCTGTATCCCCAGTGCTGAAAACTGCAACTTGGAGATGTGTTCAAGAAATCCTGTTGCATTACTGTTGTTACTTTTTTGGTACTAGGGATTTGTATTTGCTTTCCCAGTGCTGGACACAGTATCTGGTCCATGACTCGAATGAGGAGAGGTTTAATTTGGGGGCTGGCAGAGCAAAGATGCTTAGCTCCTGGACGCCCAGGAGGCAGAGCGCGGGAAGCAGTCACGGGCCTGATACAGTACCCAGCGTCTCACCTCTGCCTCACACATACCCAGGAACGCGCTTCGTCAAGGGCATTTCTTTCGACCATCAGTGAACCCTCACAGGACGGAACTCAGGGCCTGTGTGCTCGGCAAGCCCTCTACCGTTGAACTAAGCCCCCACTCATTCACTGCAGACAGGGTTCTCGCTGTGTGGTCCAGCTCACCTCCAACCTTCATCCTCCGCCTCTGCATTCCCAGCGCCGCTGTCTTGCCGGTTCACCTACAAGTTAGAGGAGGAGAGTTTCATTCACCTCACACTCTGTAGAGGTTTCAGTTCATAGCTGGCTTCAAGGCAGCATGGCCTGGCAGAGGAGAAATAGTCCGTGGCAGGGTAGGCAGAAAGCAGCAAGCCTGCCTTCCCTCTCTCCCTTTACACCCCATCCAGGCTACAGGCCTATGGGTTGGTGTCACCCACACTCAGGGTGGGCCTTCCCACTGCCACACCTACGACTGTGCTAAAGCAATCCGTGGGCTAATTTAGTTATCATACCCTTAATCGGTATCACACACCCCAGATCCAGCCACCCTCAAAAGGTCCCATCCATGAGGGCGTGAGGCTTTGTAGTAACATCTAGATAAAGCCGTCACACCTGGCTGTGTGTTGAACCCAGGTCCTTGAGATTCTATCTATCTGTCTGTCTATCTAAGACTGCTATATCCCCAGCCCTTGTTATTTTTTTTGCCTTGAGACATGGTCTCATGCAATTGTCCAGGCTGGCCTGGAACTCGAGATCCTCCTTCCTCAGCCTCCCGATTAGCTAGAACTACACGCGTACACCACCACACCTGGCTAAAATATTCATTAAATGCATAGTTTATCTCATTGAAGAACATGTTTATCCAGAACGCTCTTGGCGCTCTCCAGGCCCTGAGAACTTATTTATTTATGGTACTGGGGATGGAATAGTGACAGCCGAACTAGGTCCTCACCCCTTTTTAAATTTTGAGACAGGGTTCCATTACAGACTGCGTTTAAATGTGCGACCCTTCTGCCTCCGGCGTAGCTATGATTACAGGTGTGCACCACTGCGACCTACTCAGTACCAGACTCGATCAGCTGTGGAGAAGGAAGAGCGCTGTGGGTTGGATCAAGGGCAGGCAGCCGGGGAAAGACCGGGGAAGGTAGGCCACACTGTCCCATCTGCCATCACCTTGTAATGCACGTGTACATTCTACATTCTCACAAAAACCATCTTGCCAGGTCGGTATCGCAATCCCTTTATCCCTGAGAAAACAGGGAGATCAAGCGACCTGCCCGATGCCACCCTACAGGGTGACCCCGATTCCTGTCCCGGCTGCGGATGGACCGCCTTCCAAGAGCCCCCGGCCTGGCCGAGGGCGGGAGGGTGTCGGCGCCTCACTCCCAGCTCCTCCCCTCTCCCCGCCTCCGGGGGCGGCGCAGCAAAGCGCGGGAAAGCTCAACCTGGGGG